CTTTTGGTCAAGTTCGTAGACATATTAGAGAAGAGTTGTGTCTCGTGCTCCGAACTTTTATTTCTTGTTCGTAACGATGGAAGGTACTCGTCAAATGTGAAAAGTTCGCTTCAATGGTCTGCGTGGCTAGTTGAAAGCCTAAATGTAATAACTGTCCTAAAAGTAATAAAGTCCTAAATGGAATAACATTTGGATCTAAATGTAATAAAGTCCTAGATGTAATAGACTTTGGTCCTAAATGTAATAAAGTCGTAAATGTAACAACATTTAGTCCTCTAGTGCAATCGTTTAACTCCGCCAGTGCATTGTTGTCATAGCGGAGATCCATATTGAGATGTTGAAGTGACAGCTGTTGCACAAAAATATCCTCCGACCAGTATTCATGTCACATTGCAGGCTCGCTGATATCAATCAGCGTATTTTTATTTGTTAAACTTAATTCGAAAAGCATTGGCTGCAAACTGTTATACTGTTGAACAATTGGCGTCAAAAGATGGCTGGCAAAACAATGAGTAAGCTGACCAATACCTCTCTATATATCACTGGCTCAGACTCTTAAGTACAACAGATTTTGCTAAAATGTGATGACGTATGTCATAAATGAAATTTCAAACTTGGACAAAGGAGTCCTCTGACTTGTGGGTCGGACAATTTGCAGGCTTGGGTAAAAAGTTTTTTAATCAGGGATATTGCACTTCTAGCCCTCTAAGGCTTCACTACACCTCGGTTATCAGTTCATGTACCGTATAATTATAGGTGCAAACTGTTGAGCTTCCTTTTTTCATTTATTTATTCATCTATTCATTTTCTCCCCTCACGACTGAGAGAAGAGATGAAGAGAAAAAATGAAATAAAAACTTGAGATGGACTGTGGAGTATATGTTCTCTCTTGACTAAGCTTATTAGGTCAAGATGGCTGGATATTAACCTCGTTCTTTTTCTGCGTTTTTATGGACCGAGATGAAGTTTGGTAAGTAAATATTTTTGCTGAGTTATTATTTGATTGCAAAACATTACAGTGGTAAAAATTAAAGTTGTTATTTATACGACAGGTGATTGCATTCAATTTGTCTCTCGATTCCTCTTTCGAAATGGCTCACTACAGACTCGAAGAAAATATCTGTAGTACTCACTCGTAGTCTGCATCACAGCTTTAATTGACAACTTATCGAGTGATAACACAGCCTGTTCGAAGTGTTCAGTTAGTGAAACGAAGTGCACAATAAACGGCGCGATAGTCACCACGAAGCGAAAAAAGGGTGAGGCTTGAGTCGAGTCGGGTTAAAGGAGCGGCATTCAGCCGACCTGATCCGACTCAAACCTTTCCCGTTTTTTCCACTCCTTCGCTGCTATTGTGCCGTGTACCATTTCTCTCCGTTTTACCAAAAAACGCCCGGAAAAGGCAAATATGAGCTCTACATATAGAGGTATGCTTGACAGCCTGGGACATTTTAATAATTTCATCACATTCTATTTATTTGGTGTTATCTTAAAAAAGACTTGAATTTCGTCATCATCATCAAAATTTGAGGGATTTCTCTACTCTTCCTGTTGACAACCTCACATCCACTGTGGCCTAAATCTTAAAGGGTTTAAAAGGTATATTTACCTTATTTGAAATACGCCAACGATCTCAAGTGTCCTTTGGGTCGCAAAACATAACAACATTTCCTCAGAGGTTGGCATGTGTACCTTACATTAAACAGCCATCCTAAAAGAGGAACAGTTGTTTGCCAAAAAGAGATTATGCGACAATTCATCCTGCCGTTTTACACTGAAAGGTCTCAACATAGAACAAAGGGTGAAAAAATGTTACTCAAAAGATCATGAATATTTCAAATATTCACCCGACGTCAGAAATTTTGTGTGCAAATTATCACTGATTTTCAGGCGGAATTTTGCTACTGAACAATGCTGATTGTCTTACTTACTTGTTTATCAAATTAGTAAACGAAATTTTGGATATGACATCCTATAACAGGGACAAATTTATACTCTCTGTAACCATTGTTTCAAAAGGAATAATGGAAACATCATTTTACCCTCACCAAAAGCTATTGACAGATGACGAAGTGCTTATGGCAATGCTGTGATCTCTCACATACGAA